AGTAAATTGTTTACGTTCAAATCCAATCTGGTCTTCATTCACATAAACCATTTAAGCAGTGTCGAGCGTGACCAATATCATTGACCCTCAAATTGCTGAGAGGAGTTTATTTTAATCATATAATCTCATGCAAGGCATTAAACCCATGAAGACACAAGGGGTTACTGGGTGTGAAACAGTAAGGAACAAATATGATTTTATTTAGGAACAACAGCAATAGAAGAGTAATCAAGAACACAGTAGATAAAGATTGACATTTTAAAAGAAAGATTCACAGGCGAGAAGTGCGAAAAAAGAACTGTTAGCCTAAAATTTACGGTTATATCTAGCGAGTTCAAGTTGGAATTGATGAGATCTTGCCGTCAATCTAGTAATGCGCTTAAATTCATAAAGTCTAGGTAGAAGAGTTCATCTGAACAATTACCATGAAAGTATTTAGAGAACAGGTACAGGGAAATTACATTACAGCGGAGGGTAAGTGACTGAAGCTGAGACGCCAGGTCAGAAGTAATATTTTCGATTCTTCTTTGTATTCAAGAATCTCGAAATGCATAGCAGAAACACTAGACCATATGTGACAGCAATATTCAAAGCAAGAACGAATGATAGAGTTGTAAATATATAAGAAATTAAAGAAAATTGTCTTGCACGAAAGGATTATTTAGTTTTTAGCGAAGAATTCATTTGGAATCCTTACACCAATAATCCCTTTTTATTATTAAATATTCAGAAACTTCCATTCAACCCTGATTCTAATACAAACAGTTTCATTACCGAAAATCATTAAAAAGTAATTCAAGATTAAAAAAAGGAATATCCAGAAGTCACTTAGATTCGAATTAAACCGTTTAGTTGAAACTCAAATGTACTTAGATTGCAGACCGCATGGGAATCCGGAAAAAAATATTTTCGAATACATGGAAATTAGGAAACATTGTCACGTACAATAAAAGACTGTTTTTTGAGTTAATTTCTTATACAGTGTAACCCGGATATAAGAGACACGGATATGAGACCCGGATATAAGAGAGATTTTCTCTGGTCCCAAATTAGAGCCTGTGTTAATGTATATAAAATAGACCAAACCCGGATATAAGAGAAACCCGGATATAAGAGAAACCCGGATATAAGAGACTTCTTCTCCGGTCCCGACAACTCTCTTATATCCAGTTTACACTGTGCCTGTTTAGCGGAAGAACATCTCGGTTCTACGGAATGGAGACATTCTTCTTCTATGTATAATGTCCCTTCACAGGGACACAGAAAAACATCGTATAACCTACCTAACGAGATTGTGTAAATGGATGGAAGGAAAGAGTTTAGGAGAGATGATAATAAAAAGATAGCATTTATTAATTGCAACCTAGGTTAAGATATTTCGAAGACCCATGTTAGCCAACGTCATGAAGTTGTATGACAACAAGAAGAAGAAAATGCTAAATTTATTATTTTAAATTTCGTTAATTCACCAAAATAAGGAAATAGTAAAATCCATATGCCAAACGATGTGTTACAACGCATGTTATAGAGTGATTTTCCATGTGTAGCTCAGATGTGGCACAAGGCCAAATGTATGAGGTACCCACTGAGGATTACGAACTCACTCGTAATTGTTCTAGCGAGACAAGCCTGCTAACCATTACACCAACTTGTGGTGTCCAACTCATGCCCCTATAGAAAAAATACATATTGTCGGGAAACTAAAACAGGTTTTTATTTTTTTATTCATTTAATTAAAGCTGTCACTTATATGATGTCTAAATCTAGAAAATTGGAGAAAATATAACGTTCTTTATTTATATTATTTTGCACAAACGCATGCGCACAGACATACCGTTAAAATATAAGATAATCCGGAATATTTACTTATTTCTAATTTGTCATGTTTCGTAGATTAACCGGCGTTACAGTAAAAATAATTTCATTTTCCATAGTAAATATAATGGCAAGATTAACCTTTTCCATAAAAGAAAAATTCGGTATTCATTGAACAATTACTGTAATCGTTGGTCGAACTTTATACTTGAAATATAGTTTTCAGAAAATTATAATTTCCACGTCTACTGTTATAGCGCTTTTTAATATTGATGGATGTTTCTTTCCTAGCCTTTTGTTTAAAGTATTGTGGAAAGTCAACACATTGATTATGTCATTATCTTCTCTTTTAGTTATATATGATAGCTTTTATTGTTGTTTTGGAAGTGTTCAAGTAATACGATTTTTATGATTTGTTATAGGTCTTTACGACTTTTTAGCGTCAGTTGAAAAGGTCTAATGAAGATCGTCTTCTTTAAGAGTAATTTATAAATGTTATTCGTGTAGTGCTAATTCAAACGTTGATTTGGGAAACAGTTGTATATAGATAAAAAAAATCTACATTAATATTAAAAAATGCTTGTCTTTTATTTGAACAGTATCGATAAATAAATTAAATTTTAATTACTTTCTACACATTTTTATTTATTTTATCAGGGTTTATGTCTCCTCCATTATTGCTGCCAAATCTGATTGGATCAAATACTCTGTATCTAGAAAGTCTTGATTGAATTCAAAGAAGTATCTCCACTGTAATCAGTCCTAACTTAGCACATTGGCCTCATTCACTCTTCCAACGCCATAGCGTAGCATTCTTGGCTATTTTCTATAAATATTTTGATGGTATTTCTTCTGATGAGCTTTCCTATTTGATACCCCTGACTTCATCAATCTAAGCACAATATTCAGCATTTTAATGAGGAATTTGCCAGATATAACCGTAAATTCTATTTTAATAATTTCTTTTCTCGCTTATGAATCTCTTTTCCAGCTTATTTTATTACTGTCAACTAAGATCTTCAATAATTTAAATGCAACGTCAATCATAATTTTCTATCTCCTTGAACCGTTTTCTTTTATTGTCATATCTCTCCCCATGTAACGTTTTTTCTCAGATTTTTTAATTCTCTGTAAGCTCTTTCGCCTTAGGGGCTTTATCGTCTTGCATGGACTGAAATGATTGAAAACATTTTTAGTAAGAACAGGAATCAACTAAAAGAGATCTGGTTTATATCATCGACGGTGTTTCATAGACTTCTAGGACTTACAGTGCATATTCCTCTAAGCAAATTCTAGACACAACGTTTTCCATATTAGAAGTGTGATCACGAAGTTTTCGATGGTACACAACCTTACTGAATGTTTTGCTTAGTCATAATTTATCTCGCTAATATAGATACTATTCTTGTGAAATAAATGAATTTCGGCGCAACATGTCAAATTGGATTTAAAAAAAATACAAAATTGTATTATATATTTACAATTGCGCCGGATCCTTTATCGATCTTTACACACACACACACACACACACACACACACATACACACACACACACACACACACACACACAAACACACGTACACAAATACGAAAATGCACACACAAAGAGATACACGCACACACATGTCGATCTACGTGTACACAGTCTTTCTGTAAAATTGAAACCATTCAGTCATATGTAAAACAGGGTTGTTGTTTTTTTATAACGTTTAGTAAATCCATGAAAGATAAAGTTCAATTGCCCTTCTTTTCTCCGTCGTGTCCTTTTCAGGATGTAGGTAACTTATATGTGTTTTACCCTCAGTTCATTAAAATTCGTTAAGGAAGCTATTCATTGTGTTTTTTCCCTGTTTTTCTTGTCACCAGTATATCTTGTGGGTGCTAAATTAACCAGTCCGCTTTTCCTCGCGATGTTTCCTAGATAATTTAACGGTCGCAATCTGAAGATATGTATATGCTTCCTATTTGAAACATCTTTTTTGTTCACATATTAAAATTGGAACACTCGCTTTCGCGCTCACTAACGAACACACACACACACACGTATATATATATATATATATATATATATATATATATATATATATATATATATATATATATATGCGTATGGGTGTGTGCATGTGCAGTTGTTGGTAGAGAAATATAGCTTTGCTAAAAGAAAGATAATTAGAGAGAAAAATACAAATACAAAACAAATATTAAAAAGTGAACATCGAAGTCAATATTTAGAGGCGACAGGCTGTTTCATGCTAGACGCAATCGTCAAGCCACGAGTATTTATGTAACACTTGTGGCCTCACGATTGCTTCTAGCCTGAAACTGGCCGTAGCCTCTAAGTGTTGACTTCAATGTTCACTCTTATATTTACACACGCTCTATCTCTGATATATATATATATATATATATATATACAGCAAGATAAATCCATAGATAGAAAGAAAATAGTATAGATAGATAGATATGAAGTGTTTAAAAAATTTTTTAAAATCAAAAAGAAAACAATAACAAATGCAAATAAGAATAGAAGTTGAATATCCCGAAATTTAAATCGAAATGATTTCACATTTGTTCTAAGGTAAATCTCACAAGCATCGATCTCTCTAAATGTTACAGCTAAAATCTTATATCTGAGTAAATGTATTTTCTTATTATTTTTATTTTTATTATTATTAGTTGTAGTATTAGCATTATTATTATTGCAATCGCTTATCAGAAAAGCCGAGCGTACAGAATTAATTTCTAGTATTCATTGCCATAAATAAAACCTAACAAGAAATAAAATAAAATTCAGATTTAGAATAGATAAGCTTACCAATAAAATTAAAATAGCAACGCATATGTATGTATGTATGTGTGTATGTATGTATGTATGTGTGTGTGTTTGTATATGTGTGTGTGTGCATATATGTTTATGGCATGGCTAAAGTTGTTACCAATTTCAATGACTAGGCTCTGTGAGCAAAGCAGATTTTCAAGGCAGCGCTGAGTTTTCCTCGTCCGCATATGGATCTACTATTAATATGTATTTCTTTAATACCTCAACAACCTAATTGTTAGTGTGAGTTTGTTTAAGTAAGCTGGTCTCTTTATTTGTCTTTGTGCGTATGTGCGGGCATGTGCGTGTGTGGCATTATATGTAATAATAGTTTGTAATGTGTTTTATACAAAAAATAAGGCACTGATCAGATTGAAAAAGAAAGGGAAATATAGGAATAGGGAAGTACAGAGAAAGCGAGTTCGAGGGAGAGAGTAAGATGAACATTGAATCTAGAAGAAGAAGAAGAAGAAGAAGAAGAACAAGAAGAAGAACAAGAAGAAGAAGAAGAAGAAAAAGAAGAAGAAGAAACACAAGATGAAAGATAATGACAAGATAGCACAAAGCGATGAAGAAGCGTAGATAAAAGAAACACTAGAATACAAGTGGACGCGGGGGAGGAGAAGGAGGAAGAAGAAGAAGAAGAATGAAAAATAAGAACAAGAGGAAGCAAAAAGGAAACACAAGATGAGAAATTTGAATTACTACTACTACTACTACTACTAGCAGTAGTAATAATAGTCATAGTAGTAGTAGGAGTAGTATCAGCAGGAAAGAAAAAGAACGAAAAGAAGAATATGATTTACAAAAAGACGTAGAAACGGTAAAGAAGAAATGAAAAAAATATGAAGTAGAAAAATTAAAAGAAGAGAGATAAAAAAAGAACTAGAAGAAGAGAAAGTAGGAAAAGAAGAAGAGAAAGAAAAGAAGTAAGTAGAAGATGATCAAGAAAAAGGAAAAAAAAAAGAACCAGTAGAATACGATGAAAGAGAAGAAGAAAAAAATAAGAAAGAAGAAAAAGAGCTAAAAGAAGAAGAAGCACAAGAAGGTGAAGTAGGAACACTAGAAGAGGAAAAAAGAAGAAAATGTTGAAAAACAATCTTGGAAAATTAGTCAAAAGCAATAAAGTGTATTATAACGAAATAGAACCAATAGCCATTCACTTGAGTATAAGTTTTTAGTTTTAATTTTCATCATTTTTTTATTTATTTTACTACTTGATAAGGTTTAGAATAAATTGATTTTAAAATGTGGACTATCTTCCGCCCGGTGTTTTTGGTGAAAAAAAAGAAAAAAAAAAAAGAAAAGAAAACAGATGATGAGCTTCACTTGATAGAATTGTAATTAAAGGAAGATGACGGGAAAAAGCAGCAACTGGAGGGTATTATATAAAAAATGGCCGATTTAATCACTTTTTCCGCGTTTAAGCAAAGGTTGCTTCTTCTTATTCTCAATTTCTCTTCTTGTTTTCGCCAGAGAAGTAATAAAGCGACAAAAATCAAAGAATAGACAGATAGGGAATAGCAGAGAAGTTAAAATGAAATTAGTTGAACTAAAGAAAAGAGTCTAATCTTGAGAAAGTTTAGTCAATTATATTCTTTCATTTCCCTTCCAATATTCTCTTTAGTTTATTAGATTCAATGTAGTTTCATTTTCAGTTGTTTTGCTGATATTGAATTGTGTTGCTGTTATTAATTAAAACGAATAATGATTAATTCTACCAATAATGTCAGTGAGATGGGCAGAAATGTTAAGAAAAGTAGTCAGGGAAAAATAAAATATAAAGAAGAGCAAGGCGAAAAAAATAAACGAAACAAAGTGGCGAAAGAGAGACAGACAGAGAGAGAGAGAGAGAAGTAAAATATGATAGAAAATAGGAAGAAACAAATTGAAGAAAGAAAAAGAAAGAGATAAATAAAGGTATAGACGAAGGAAAATTTGATGTGAAAGCGAAAATGAAATAATGCAAACGAGAAAGAAAAAGGGGACAAAAGAAAGAAAGAATACATTTTGAAAGCAATTGAGAAAGAAAGAAAGAACACAAAGAAGATATTGAATATGAAAGAGACAGGTGAAAAGGTAGTAGAAAAGAAACTGAACGAAAGAGAGAGAAAAGTAGTAAAAGAGAGTAGGAAAGAAACTGAAATAGAGAGAGAGAGAGAGAAATAGGATAAGGGAGTAGGAAAGAAACTCAATGAGAGAGAGAGAGAGAGAAATAAGAAAAGGAAATAGGAAGTAAATTGAAGGAAAGACTGAGAGAGAGAGAGGAATAGGAAAAATGTGTAGAAAAGAAAATGAATGAAAAAGAGAGAGAGAGAGAAATAGGAAAAGGGAGTAGGAAGGAAACTGAACGAAAGAGTGAGAAAGAAATAGGAAAAGGGTGTAGCAAATAAACTGAACGAAAGAAAAAGAAAAATAGGAAAAATGAGTAGCAAAAACTGAATGAATGAGAGAGAGAGAGAGAGAGAGAGAGAGAAAAAAAATGCGGAGGAAAGAAACTGAATGAAAGAGAGAGAGAGAGAGAAATAGGAAAAGGGAGTAGGAAAAAACTGAACGAAAAAGTGAGAAAGAAATAGGAAAAAGTACGAAAGAGAGTGAAAAATAGAAACAATGAGTAGGAAAGAAACTGAATGAGAGAGAGAGAGAGAGAGAGAGAGAAAGTAAAAGGGAGTAGGAAAAAAACCGAACAAAAGAGAGAGAGATGGAGAAATAGGAAAAGGGAGTAGGAAGGAAACTGAATGAATGAGTGAGAGAGAGAAATAGTAAAATGAGTAGGAAAGAAACTGAACGAAAGAGAGAGAGAGAGAGAGAAATAGGAAAAAGGAGAGAGTGGAAGGAATAGGAAAATAGATATTTTTTAACTAAGCAATACATTGAACGAGGATGAAAATGAAAGAAAATGAGAAAAGTAAAATAAGACCAAATGAAAGTGTAGATGAATAAAAGTTAAAAAAATAAAAAAAAACAGAAAGAAAATGAAAAAAGTATAAACGTGTGAGAGAAAGAAAGGGAGAATGATATGTGAGAAAAACAGCGAAATAGTGAGAGAAAGAAAGAACATGAAAAAAGGAGGAAAATATAAAGAGAATGAAAACAAAGAAAGGAAGAAACAATTTCAATGTATTACACAAACTTTCTTTCACAGTCAAAGAAAAGAGTAAGCAGAGAGAAATAGAGAAATAAATAAAAGTTAAATAAAAAGAGCGTGGAAAATAAAGGCGAATCAAAGTGTGCAGTTGAAATAAATAACCAAAAAAATATCGAAAATAAAAGATTAAAAAAAGCAAGAAAGGAATATAAATAAAGAAAGAAAATCAAAAGAAGAGAGAAATGAATGAAATTCAGGCGAATGGAAGGGAAGAAATTCAATAATGAATGTAGTGAATAATGAACGAAAAACATCTGGAGGAAAGGGAATAAATATTTGAAGAATTTAAAGAAACAGAAAAGAAAAAAAAACGAAAGTTAATTCTAAAAAATAAAAAAAAATAAACAACATTATTACTGATATTTTAAGCTATGGCTTTTAGAATGACATCAAAATTAAATGTTTTTCATTTCTTTTATCTGACGTGTCCCTTCAGGACGTTGAGGATCATGGCTCTCACAACTTCCTTTCCTTGTAGCTCTTAAGAAATTGTGTCTCTCTTAATACTTGCTTCGTCAACTAGTTTACTCAGTCTCGCTTGGTAGGTTATGCGTTGCTTTCACTTGTCCCTCTTCAATCTGCCCTGTGAGTTTCAAATTTCTCAATCCCTCTTTACTCACTATGTGTCCTAGAAATTTCAACAATCCCTTTCGGATGTTAAGCATAAGTAACGTTTTTGCTTTTCTCTAAAAATTCAGCATTGCTCACATGATCCGTCCATTTTATTGTCAGCATCCTTCCGTGAAAAAACATTTTGTCTTTTCTTCATCGATAAGAAGATTATCCAGGATTCAATGTCATATAGGAGGACAGATATGCCATAATATTTCAGTACTCTTTTCTTTGTCTCTAACGAAGTTTATTAAAAAATAGATTCAAGTTTCACTCAAACCAGACACAGTTTGCCGAACATTGTATCTGAATAGGCTACTGAATAGAATAATCAAACGAAGGTTGGTAATGGACAATAATACTTAGGACAAGAACAACAGGTATAAGATTCGCCAGCGGCGCGTCGAAGAAGTAGGCAACGGCTAGAAGTGAGTCAAGTGTATTCCACAAAGAATCTCTAACTCTAGGATATCTAATAACCGCTGCACGTGGCCAGATGTGGCACAAGGCCGAATACAATGAGGGGTATCCGAGCAGGTAGGCTCGGCCGAAAATTCCCCGTAGACACCGTGTAAAACGGGGTCAGGTAGCTGTTTCCCGAGACAAGACTCTGCCTATCAACATAGCCTCGTCTGGAGATCCTCTCTGCCCGGAGGCAAAGAGTTTGACCAGCAGAGCTGGAGACAAAGCTCCAACTCTAGAATATATGCCAACCACACCACGCGGTCGGGTGTTGCACGAGGTTGAATTTAACGTGGGGTATCCGAGCACGTAGGCTCGGCCAAAAATTCCCCGTAGACCCCCGTATAAAACGGGGTCATGTAGCTGTTTCCCGAGATGAGACTCTTTCCTTCGACATAACCTCGCCTGGGGATCCTCTCTGCCCGGAGTCAAGGAGTTTGGCCAGCACGGCTGGAGACAAAGCTCCAACTCTAGACCACGTACAGTATTCGCTACTGTATTTATGGGAATGGGAGCATACCGTTTATCGTCCGTAGGTATGCTACAACACACGAGAATATATCTTGCATCAAATATGTAACAATTTATATCACACAATATTGACCAGAAAAATTCAGTAGCAAAAGAGGCGATAAAAATTATCCAATAGCAAGGAGGGCAGTATTAACAAATTAACAAACAACAAAAATAAGTTTTGTTGGAGATAGTTTGCAATATGAGTAAGAGTGAAGAATAGAATTTATGAAAAACTAAGAACAAAGGAAAAAGAAGAAATAAATTAAAGCGAGAGTAAATCGTTCAGAAAGAGTAACAGTTTTATAGAGACGAGACAAACAGTGAAAATTGTACAAAAAACATTGTAAGTTGGAAGAAAAAATGTAGATCAAACGAACTGTACACAGCTAAAAATATATATATATATGTATACTAAAACTGTGGTGGAGGGAGACAACTCGTATTAGCCTTTAACTTAACGCATGCGCATCATTTTCCCAACTCCACCATTGCCAATTTACACAATGTCAAGTGCGGGTGACACATACAAATATTCATTTGTGCATCTGGCACCGTTTTTCTTCGTCAATACGACGGAACCGCATTTACTTTAACGTCCTATAATTAAAAGTGACTGAAGAAAATGCAGATTTCATGAGTACTGTCAGCGCCAGTTTTTTTTCTTCGTATGTATGCTACATTTTCACCAATGGCTGAAGAATATCTATTGAACAGAGGTAAAGTCATGAACGTCAAAGAAAAAAAAAAGTGAAACAGCTGAGTTGATTATTTTAAAGCATTTATTTCTCCAAGTAGCAACACAGAGTTTTTTTTCTCTTTTTGTTGTTCGCTAGATTTATAAAATATTACTTATCGTTTGATTTAATTTTACAAATTGTTTGCTTCTTTCTTTGTCTAAAAAAACAAAATTCCCTTCATTTGCTTTGAAGTCAGCACTTTAAGTAAATGTAAGTTAAAGAGAAAAAAAAAAGTATCTACAGTGAACTGCGTGATATAAAAAAAACATATGTATAGAAAATTGTTTTTTCTTTATTTAAAGACATTTAAATGCACGCACACAACTATGTTTGGAATATTCTTTGTATATAAAGAAAAAAGTGTGCAAAATATAAAATGAATAAAACTACACATAAATTGCGCATTGCTTAAAAAATATAATAAAAAGATAAACAAACATAAGTAATGAATAATAAATAAAATTAAATAAATATATAAAGAATAAACAATTGGAAATGATGTTATTAATAATATTAATAATATTTCTTTCATGTGAATTCTTTATTTGCTACTATAACTATATGTCATTTAACTGTTATTATTATTGGTATTTGTATCAATATTATATGAGGCATACATACTAAAAAAATACGTATATATATATCGCGTGGCCGAGTGGTTTCTGGCCATGAGACCCGGGCTCGAATCTCACCACGAGGAAGGAGATTTCCCGACGTTATCGGCACCTTAGAAAAGTGACTGAAAACCATACAACGGGTTGACCCAAGCCTTGTGCCTGAAATTGGGTAGATGGAACACTTGGGGGCCATCGATAGTTGCGCTAGAACAATGTCACAAGTCATCGTGACCGAGGGTTTGAGTGTGCTGAGAATGCTGATCACGCTAGATAACACGATCTCTTCCAGAAACTCTAACAAAGGTCTGCGCAGCATAGTTGCTCTGTGGGTGTTGAACAAACAAAAATGTGCCTGACCGATATATATATATATATATATATATATATATATATATATATATATATATATGTATATATGTATATATGTATATATATTATTACTTAAACGGTATTTTAAGTTGATACCCACAGACGCTTCATTTATTTATTAAACAGTTTATTTATTTATTAAACTAGTCTGAATTTTGGATAAATAAATTGAAAAATATGTTCTCTATTTCTCGAATATCGGTAGAAGAAAATAAATAAATGAATATGCATTTTAATAAATAAACAGTGTGTCTATCCAAATATGGGTATCCACTAAAAATGACGTTTAAGAAATATAAATCTGTCAGACTAATAAATAAAAGATATATATATATATATATATATATATATATATATATATATATATATATATATATATATATATATATATATTTGTTGTGGATTCCGGGGAGGAATCAGGCACAAATAAATAAACACTCTCGTATAACTCTGAGTAAACACCCTGTATCGACCTTCTTAGTCACGTTATCTCTTCGTAGTATAAGTATACTTTGGACGAGTCTATCTTGTGTACAAGGAGCGAGCCCTACAATAATATTATTTATCATAATTTTTCTTATAGACAAAAACAATTTATTTACTACAAAGATGCATTTTGTTTCGGTGAATTTTGTTGCACCTCGACATGTTTGATTAAAAAGAAACGACAAGGCCTCTCTGTTTAAGTTTTTATTCTAATTTTAAAATTTTCGGATAAGATGTTGACTATTGTATTTGATGTGTTTTCTCTGGGGTAGTTAGAATTCCTTTGTGCGCCTCCTAGCATAATTTGGGTAGCTGGAAATTCGAAATAATCTAGCGTGACATCATGCATACCGAATATTGGGAACGAGACCGCTAAAAGCGAATGCGACTTGTTTATTTATTTATTGATTTGGTTTTATGTTTTTAATAATAATATAAAATATGCGAACATTAATTATATCATATGCACCTCAAGACTTCTATTGTAGTGAATGATATTTTATTCAATGTTGGCTGTTTATTTTGTATAGTTTGTTTTGTATAGGGATTTGAATCTTTCCTTGCATTTTGGTGTTATCTGCTAGCATTTGTCTTATGTAGATAGATATACTTTGGCCGTTCATAATGTAATGGTCGATGTGTATACGGAAGGCACCGAGTTTCGATAAAGTTAAAATTAAGAAATTAAATTATCCAAAAAATATAAGCCTGATGAAAAATATTAAAAACATCGCTGGGTTAACAGCTTTACTATTATGTAACTATAAAATCTCACATAATTTATAAAGATATACAAATGATATGTGAGCATAATGAAAGACAGATTTGACTAAAATCAAATAGAGTATCTGTATGGGTACGCTTAAAATTTGAGATAGATAAATATATAGGAACAGACTGAGATAGATAGATAGATAAATAGAAACATTATGAGATAGATTGATAGATATACATGAATAGATAGATAAATAGTTGGATGGATATATAGAGAAGGAGATATATATATATATATATATATATATATATATATATATATATATATATATATATATATATATATATTTAAGTTATGAAGAACTTGGTAAACCGAATTGGTAAATCCAATACAATAATTACAATTATAATGTAATTGGTAAATCCATTACAATAATTTATTTCACCAAAATATTTGGTGAAATAAATTATTGTAATGGTACCTTAAAGTGGTCTGTTTTTCATTAAATACTAGCTCTGTTCTTCACATTGAGCTCTCAGGATTTCATCCTCCTTGGATTTACCAATTCGGTTTACCAAGTTCCTAACTATTAGCTCCTTATAAATTTCCTCTCATTTCATTGTTGTAAGTGTTACCTGATGATCCGAAATCCTTTATAAAGATTTTGGTGAAATAAATTATTGTAATGGTACCTTAAAGTGGTCTGTTTTTCATTAAATATTTTTATGTTTCATGCTAGA